ACCAAAAACAATTCCGACAAAAAACAGGGCCATATTTGTGCTGCTGTACTTACCTCCTCGCGGGTCTGCTTGGGACCGCTGGCAGCTACGTCGGCATAAGACACTGCACGGCGAGGGCGACGCGGTTAGCTTCAAGAGAGCTGTGGTGTGACGACATTGGTTTTTTCAGAGACAGGATCTGGCTCGCTTACTGATTGATGTTTGGGCTTTTGAAGGGCAAATGGGGATATTGTTTTTTTTTTTTGGAATAACGGCGCAGGGCTGAGAGAGACGCGGTAGGTCGGGAGACGGTAGTTGTTTTGCCAAGTGATGGGTCACGGGAGGAGAGAGAGAGAGAGAGAGCGAGGGGGAGAGAACAGTGCTGGTGGGTGTGAAGGGTGAAGGGTGAAGGGTGAAAGGGAGAAATGGGATCAATATTGCTGTCTGGTGGGTGCATGTGGGCTGATCTGGCCCAGTGCCAGTTTCCATGTTGACGTCTCCTGACCTCTGGCTGGCAAAACCTGTAAAAGCCGGTTGCGCACGCCCGAACGCGAGTGATGGATGACGTATCTGGGCGACTTGGCAGCTGGCAGCTGGCAGCTAGTGGGGCATCCAAGCCTGGACATGGAGGGAGACGTGGGGGGGCGCCTGTGGACCCGCCAACCGTTCGCGGCTGGTGGCCTGCACAGCACAGTTGATTTGGGGACGCTGGGGGGTTGCTGCATGCCGGGGTGCCCCGCTGCCCCGCCAAACAGGCTGGCCACCACTGCAACACTGAGCCATGGACGACATGCATGATGGATGCATGTGAAGACTGACTTGACTGCCTGACGTGGCTGCCTGCACTCACGTTGATATCCTGTTCTGCTTCTTGCATTTCTTTTATTCTGTGATACCTGTATCCTTTAACCCTGCGTACTGACCATGTGCAAATCAGAGCGCGGCAACAATCTTGCAAGTCTTGCCTCGAAGCAAGCACCGTGGAAGAAAGGGCTGAGGCATTGCTTGCATGGACAAGAGAAAACAAAAAAAAGAGAAAAAGAAGAAGGAAGGAAGAAGAAAGAAGAAAGAAAAACACATGATCCTGATCAGCGTCCACCCAGACTCCCTAGACCAACAAACGCCAAGCTCTCACGGGTATCTCAATGTCAAAAAAATCACTCGTCGACCGCCGCTCCAGTCCGAGGATATCCATCCCATGCGGGAAGCGCTTCCTGTGCCAATGCATTGCTTTTTTGGGAGAGGAGTGGAGAGAAGGGGAAACCAAAAATCAGAGAAGAGAAAAAAACGAAGAGAAGGGGGAGGGGGGAAGGGGGGGGCGGGGTTTCTGAAAATATATGAGGAGAGAGGAAGTGAGGAGGGCTCATGGCATGTCTCGCAATGCATCGTCGAGTTTCTTCACCCAGTATTGCTTTACACGCCAGGGCATTTTGCAGTATATCAACGCTTTGCTCTCATGGATCAGGACATGCTCTGCAATCTTGATCTGCAGGTCCATGCTTTCGGCCGCAAAGTCCCTGAAGAACTGCTCCAGCGCCAATTCACACCATCTGGTGACGGGGGAGGGCCCTACTGCCTCGCTGGCTGAGCCGCCGCCCACGTCCACTGGAGTCTCGGAAGGGCTTTGCGTCATGGCTATCACGGCCGGAGCACCATGTGTGGATGGCGACACGGCCGCATCGCAGAGCAGGCTGCTTGAGGAAGCGGGGGCGAGGGCAAGGGCGAGAGCCGGAGCGGGAACGGGAACGGGAACGGGAACGGGAGCCGCCGAGTCGACGACAACAGAGGAGGTTCGTTTCTTCTTCTCGGGTGATCCTGTGGACAGCAGGGCCGTGCCGGAATGCACCATATGAGGAGGCGATGTTGTTCCCGCGGCCTCATCGCCTTGGGAGACTGACAATGCCCGTTTCTTGGCCTGATGGGTGGGCTCATCGGGAGGAGTCAGAGCGGACTGCTGCGGAGGTGCCGTCCGAGGGGCAGCTATCGTCGATGTCGGCCTGTTGGGCGGCGGCAGTCCCCCTACGGCCGTGCCCGAGGCGGTCGGCGTCAGACTCGAGGACGATCGCGCCGCCGGGCCAGGGCTGTCGTGGCTGGTAGAAACGTTGGAAGACTCGGGCTGTAATGGTGAGACGCCAGTGTCTGGCATCTCCGACTCGTCTGCTGGTAGTCCGTCGGTCCTCCTCCGCGGTTTCATGATTCTTTTGGGAGCACCGCCCGACCCAATCACATCGGGGTACAATATCTCCATGAATTCTTCATGATCGAACGGTCGACCGCGGAGGGCTCTCGAAAGGGGTTCTCTCTGTTTCCATGTCCAGTTTGTCAGTGTGATTGTGCTGCTCTCGATTTAATCCGCCCTGTGTGTCTTTATTTAGGGGTTTTTTTTTGTTGTCTGCGTGTGTATTTTTTTTATTCTGTTTTATTCTGTTTTATTTGTTTTTTATTTGTTTTTTTATTTTATTTTGTTTTTATTTTGTTTTTTTTTGTTTTGTTTTTGTTTTGTTTTTTTTGTCTTCACATCTTAATCTTGAAAACCCATGGAGAAACCGTCGACACATGGACAAACTCTCACCCACCTCTATATGCGCCTTCCAGGCATCCTCCGTCGCAGTCACCGTCTTGGAAACGGGATTGTAGACAAAGTCCGGGTCCTCGCGCAGACCACGCCACAGTCGGAACCGCTTCCGCGCATTATCGCTCTTGTTGATGAGATGGCTCTTTGCGGGATATGCGCCGTGACGCTCCTGCAGGGCCTGCGCGGCGCGCTCCCATGCCTCGGCCTTGAAGCTGCTGTTTTCGCGCAGCCCGAGCTGGACGCTGGCGCAAAGGCTGCGGAAAAAGGTGGTCTCGTATGCGGGCGTCCAGCTGAATCGGGGAGCGCGGCGATCGCGATCGACGCGAGATGAAGACCCGTGGCCGTCGGGGCCAAGCATGTCGGTGTCGTCCTCGGACATGGCGGGTTGGACGGGGACGGGCACTGAGACGGAGACGAATGCCCTCGAGAATTGGGATCCTGTGATTCGGCGCCGTGCCAATAAATCCCGGCAACAGGAATCCAGTGATCAGCAAGCTGCTGGCGCGGGCGTGCGTGCAGTTCCATGGTGGGGTTGCAATCACATGAGCCTGCGTCGAGATGTGCGTGGTCTTTGTTTGAAGAAGCCTGCATATATGGGCTGAGATTAGGCTGTGTCTTTCGTCAATTCAACCAATCATTGGGCGGATGGTTTAGTGGTATAATACTCCCTTAGCATGATTACCCCGGGTAGCATGATTGGGAGTGGTCCGGGGTTCGATTCCCCGTCTGTCCAGTTCCGGTGGTTAAAGTCCGCCATTGTACCTTCATTTTTGCTTGTCTTTGCTTCCCTGGAATCACATAAGCTGTCCGATTTCTCTCATTTTCTTTTTGTCCAATTTTGGCAATCTCTTTTTGGTCAACTAGCTTACATTTTGTCAAAGAAACACGTCTGGGTGTGTTTGACAAGCGTGCATCCCGCTCCTGGCTTCATCGGCGACAAGCAGTCTCCTCGGGGCCGTCATCCGCTCATTCATAAAGAACCAGGAATATCGCGAATTTAACCCTTAAATGCATCAAGAATATTGAGACACGGTTATACATTCTTGTAGCAGGGAGGTGTCACAAGCTTTCAAAAAAGGCCGCTTGGTTTCGCATCGTTTGTTTTCCCCGAGATGAATACCTGAGGTACCGAGTGAGCAGTAAGAGTTTGACCGCGATGCCTTTTGCCGGCCAAGAGAATTGTCAAGTCACTCTGCATCGTGAATGCCAGAGGGTTGGCGCATCGGAGGTCGTCGTCGCGAATATAGAAAATGGTCTATTTCTGCGCACTCGTCTCAAACGGGATTCTGAATTATCGGCTCGGGCGGCCTCTTGGTAGAAGAAACAGGGCGCGGCGATTACATCATTAGAGGTGGTTATGCCTTACGTTTTTTTCTTTTCTTTTTCTTTTCTTTTTCTTTTCTTTTTCTTTTTTTTTTCTTTTTTTTTTGCTTTCTTTTTTTTCTCTCTTTTTTTTTCTCTCTAGGGAGGAATAGCTAATCAACTTGGCAGTGGTATATTCAACGAGGTCAGTCGCATTGTCGGTCAAAGTTTGCCATTCTTTTTGTTGATTTACCTCCCTACAGAATAGATACAGGGTAGGCACCGGGCATGACGGAAGGTAGGTTAGTAACCAGTAGCCACTGATGCTGAAAACATAGTATTGTTTTACCTGGCAGTCTAGCACATACGACCATAGGTGGCAGAAAACTCGGGATCCCGTCCGCTCTCCCATAGATAAGCTGCCAACCGACAGATTAGTAGTTGGGTCGGTGACGACCAGCGAACACCGGTTGTTGTATGTTTTTATTTTTGTACCTTTCTTTCTAAGGGTGCTTGTGTTCCTCATTTCTAGCCCCATTTTATTCTATATTTTTTTCTTTATTATTTTTTAATCTTTTTTTTTATTATTTTTCTCTTTTTTTTCCGTTTATTTTTATTTTTTTTCTCTTCTTTTTTTCTCCCTTTTATCTTTTCCTCTTTCTTGTCTCATCGTCTTCTTCTTCCCTCAAGACTGGGGCGGCATGACGGCGTCGGTCTCGAAATGTCGGTTGGCAGCTCCGCCGTCTCAAGCCGTGCGCGCCCGGTGGGTGTGGCGGCCGGGTTTTGGAGCCGTCTTTCGAAGTCGTCGGCGTAGACCGCGCAGAGCATGAACGGGCGAGGCGTTGTCCGATGTTTCATGTGTGAGCCCCGAGGATGCCTCTCTCCGCGCGGCCTGACGAGAGGAAAGTCGTTGGAAGTTGATCACGTGTAGATGAATGCACGCGGTCACGCATGACTAGGTGTGAAGGAGTATATATGTGAACATGTGATGATGGGAAAGCTAGATCGATCGGAAAAGAGGTTGGCCTGGTGGTTGATTTTTTTTTTTTTTCTTCTTCCTTGTGACAATATCCTTTCCAGTCTTCAAGACGAGCATAATCAAGTCGCTCAACCTCGGGTATCTGTCGAGACAAAAGTCTTTCATGTCTGGACTCATGAACACGACAGATCCAGATTTGCTCCACGCCTCGCTCGTGATGATGACGCCCACGCAAAAGGCCGTGCAAGATCCATGAGTGCCGCGTCTCCGCCGAGAGTTGAAAACGTGAGACACTTGGCTCGGGTTGGGGCCGAGGCAGTTGAGCAGATTCTCAAAGTTGCATACATCTGAATGTGTTCTGGAAAATTTCCTACTGCGCATGCGGGGAAAAAAAAAAAAAAAAAAGCACCGCATGCGGCATAAGCAGATTACGTTCCCCGAGTACCAAGACATTCAGAAAACCCCGAAAAGAAGGGCCGGCGTTGGTTTGCCGACTGGTATCTCACCCGGCAGCAGCATCGGAGGTTAAACCCCGATTTGCGTCATGGATGCCGCGGCAAGGTCTTCAAACGGGAATAATTTTCCAGATTCCTTGTCCCCTGATGTACGATACACACCCGCGATATACTATACATGCAGGCATACAATATATCCGAGCATTTTGCAAACGTCCCCCCGTCTGTTCAATTTTCCTTGTCCAAACTCCAAAGGCTGGGCAGATCGATGCAGGGTAAGCAGGGTGCTCACGCCGGTCGAAAAGAAAAATGAAGAAACATTCAACAAGGAAGTAACAAGGCAGGGCACCAAGGCCATGGTGAGAAACAAAATGGGGGACAGTATAGGGCCGGGATCACGGAGAAGAACGTTGCATGACGGAGACGGGGGAGTCACGTGCGTTTTTTTTTTCTTCCTCTTTTCTTCTTCTTTTTTAGTGCTTCCTCTTTGTTTCTAATTTAAAGATTGTTTATGTGTTTTCACCCGCCACCGCCACTGGAGAAATCCCTTCCCCATCAGTCACGCGGGAATCAAAAAAAAATTAAAATTAAAAATATAAATAAAAAGAAAAAGAAAAAAAAAAGAAAAAAGAAAAAAGAAAAAAGAAAGAATATAGAAACTCGATTTGTCCCCGCAAAGAGGATCCTCAGGACTGAACTGGTTGACGAGGAAGGAATCTCTAAAATTTCTTCATGCAGACGGGGCCGAGCGAAGGATTTCTGTCATTTCCATCTTGTGCCACGGCCGACGGACAGATGGATGGCGTGGCTCCTAGTCCACGCGCGGGGTCATGTTACTTGTCAGTCTTTTTGTCTGTCAGTCGCATCTGTTGGCAAAATGACTGGATGGATGGCTCGCCTCGTCACGTTCCATCGACACCACTGCCTGACACGTAGACGACCAACAGTCGATTTGAAACCGAGAGATGGGAAAGCTGGGACGATGCAACGATGAGATGGGTTTCATTCTGGATCTGGAGCATTCACGCGCCCGGCTGTCAATGTGACGCTCTGCGCCAAACCTGCCACTGTTTATTCCGCTGTCTTGTACTTTTTCTTTCTTTTCTTTTCTTTTCTTTTCTTTTCTTTTCTTTTCTTTTCTTTTCTTTTCTTTTCTTTTCTTTTCTTTTCTTTTCTTTTCTTT